GGTCTGAGCCTGAGTTGTCCGTCTGGAATTTTCCGGCTCAAACCGGTTCTATGGCGACCTCTTGACCTGTCCATCCTGGGGCCGGACATTGCCCCACCCCAACACCGTCCACTTCCTCTCTCTGTGCTCGTTTTCGGGTTCCGAGTGCCCCAAATCCTCTCCAGGCACCGATGGATCGGTTCTGGGTCCTGCTCCTCGCCCTCCTCATCCTCCAACACCGAGCCGGTCAGTGCCGGGGGTCTCTTGTGGGGTTTGGGATGGGTTTGGGGTCACCCAGGAGGGTGGGGATGGGTGGGGACCCGGAGGAGCTCCATGGGGTGGGGATTGGGAAACCACAGGGAAAATGTCCCCACCCCCATCCCACCTTAAACTGACCTTCATCCCACCCTCCTCCTCATCCCATCACTTCCCACGTTAAACTGACCTTCATCTGACCTTCACCCCACCTTAAACTGAGCCCCATCTCATCTTAAACTGAGCCCCATCTCATCTTAAACTGAGCCCCATCTCATCTTAAACTGACCTTCATCCCACCCTCCTCCTCATCCCATCACTTCCCACGTTAAACTGACCTTCATCTGACCTTCACCCCACCTTAAACTGACCATCATCCTATCTTAAACTGAGCCCCATTTCACCTTAAACTGATCTTCAACCCACCTTAAACTGACCTTCATCCCACCGTCCTCCTCCCATCTCCATCCATCTCCTCCCACCTTAAACTGACCTTCATCCTGGCTTAAACTGAGCCCCATCTCATCTTAAACTGACCTTCATCCCACCCTCCTCATCCCACCTTCATCCATCTCCATCCCTCGTTCTCTCCCCAGTGAATGCCGATGACCCCACAGTGCTGATCGGTGCCGTGGGCGGTTCCGTCACCTTCCAGAGCCGTAACCCGGATCGAATATCGGCATTCTGGACTTTTGGGACTGTACCCATCGTGACCGTGATATTCAGGGATGGCCCTCAAGCCGTGTTTTCAGTAAAAATATATGAGAAGCGTTTCTCCATCTCTGAGGACGGCAACGCCCTCACTCTCTCCCAGCTGAGCATGGAGGACGCCGGCAACTACTCCGTAAGGATTAACAGCAAAATATCCACCTTCACCCTGCACGTGTACAGTAGGTGCTTTCAGTGAGGAGTTTTTCTGGGCTTTTACCCAAAAAAGGAGATTTTTGACCCCTCCGCTGTCCGCAGGGCCGCTGCCCCAGCCCACGGTGACGTGCGAGGCCCAGAACTGCTCGGCCGGGAGCTGCCTCCTGTCCCTGCGCTGCTCCGCGCCCGGCGCCGGCCTGGGCAGCGTCCGGCTGGGCTGGAGCAGGGGGCAGCGGCCGTGGGCCGAGGGCGCCGCGCTGCAGCTGCTGCGGGAACCCAGCCCGGAGGGGCCGGAGCCGCTGACCTGCACGGCCCGGAACCCCGTCAGCAGCAGCAACGTCACTGTCACCGACCCCGGGGGGCTCTGCAACGGTGAGGGACGGCATCGGGGTGGCATC